GCTGCGATCAACGGGTGCCCATGTTCACGCGTGTATTCGATGTCACGTTTTATCCGCACCCCATCACATCTATAAACCCTCGTCGTTTTCAAGGCAGCCTTGCTTTTTTAACCGCTCGAGCAGCCCGGCCCCATCAACTTCTGCATCCCTGGTTTCCCGAGCGCTGCACGCCGAGGAGCTGCGTGTTTGCAGGGAGCACGGTGATGCTGCGTGGCAGGAGAGCATCTAACGTCCCCGTTCATCACGGCAGCACCGGCGGGGCCGGGCCGGGCTCTGCTGCAGGCGGTGGGATCGAGCCTCGGGGTGCAGCGACTTCCCAAGAGGTTTTAGGGACCGGCAGCTTCCCTTTCAGCCTCCTGAACAGCCACCGAATAGCGGGGCTCGCCCTGGGAGCTGCGTGCTCGGGCTGCTGCCTTTGTTTGTTGTGCAGAAGCCGGGCTGGGGTTTGAGCTGTGCTGAGGCCGAGGGAACCAATCCATAACATTTCCCCCTCCGTGGGTGAGAGCAGTGCTCCCTGCCAGCCCGATTTAGCTGCCGCAGGGCTGTCTGATGGTCCCTGCTGTGTCTCTCTGAAGGTCCACCAACCGATGATTCCACCAACGGATTTAGGATCCTACCAGCTTAAGCCTCCGTCCCAATGGTGTCATCCTGGAGGGTGCGGGTGCTCCGTGGAGGACAAGGCACCTTTTGGGAGTGGGCTGGCTGTTGTTCTGCTCCTGTTTATGTTTCTGCCCACGTACTGTGTTTGGGCTGTGTGCTGGACAACTGGAGTCGGGCTGTCATGGACAGGCAGCAGTTTGACTTCCCAGTTTCTGAAGTAGCTTTCCTGCAGAGTGGGCTCTGCCCAGCTGCAGGGAAGTGTGGTTTATCCTTCATCCTCTCACTTGTTACTAAATGCTCCTTTACCTCTTTGGGTGACTTCTTCAAACACCCCACTGGGCAGAGGACGAAGAGCAGGGGTGTGAGGGCAGTGTGAGGGCAGCAGGAGCTCCTGCAGCACTGGCTACTTTGGGGAGGAGAATTTGAGTGTAGGAGGTGTAAGCCTTGTGACAGAGATGTGGTCTGAGAGTGCTGGAGATGCTGCACATCCCATCACACCGAGCTTTAAGGCATGAATGCTACTGTAAAATGGATAATCCTTAGCATTTGGATAATCCTTCTGAAGCAGTCTTAAATCCACAATTGACATGTTGTCTCTGTCCACGTGTGCTCCAGAAAACCTGTGCTGCATACTCACATTCCCTCCTGATTGGAAGTTTTAAGCCCAGGGAAACTTGTGTTTGCTGATCAGGGATGGGAAAAGGCAATGAGAGTTAAGGATTACGTGACAGCTTTGGGCAGATCACTGCCTTAACTTTGCTTTATCAGGTACATGAGTGATCTCTCGTGGAGGGCCAGGAGCTGAGTGGGTGGGTGCAGGAGGCAGAGCTCAGGGTAACAAGAAGAATTTCCTCAGAGTCCCTTCTGACTTTGTGTTAAGCCCAAGCCCAAAGCAGCCCCTGGACCTCCCTTGCATGTGCAGGCACAAGCCCTCTCAGGATAAAAATGGCTCCATAATTTGCCTCCCTCAGCATTATTTTGTGCCCAGGGTATTAGATGTTACAAACTAATGCATGGTGATCAGATCTCTATAGGCAATCCTTTTCCTAAATGGGCCTTAAAATCAATGGATTATTAGCTCTCCTTCTCCACTCCATGATGAAAGCCCAGTCCTGTTAAACATGCAAACTACACAATATTCAAAACCTTGGTTTACAAAAGTGTTTTTCTCAGCTGGGTCATAATTTAGCTCATTTATAGCTAACCTAAATAATTCCGAGATTTACACCTCGAGCCTATGGGCTTTCCTTGAACCATGTGTTTCTGCACCATGATCATCACTTCTGCTGATGAAGAGCAATTTAAGGGCTGTGACTCACCCAGGTGAGTGTCTGCTCATCCAGCTGCTCCTCCTCAGCTGGTAGAATCCCTTCTCATGTGTTGCCTGAGCGAGTTGTCCTGCGTGGATGAAAATATTTGCCCTCTGTGCAGGTGGGCATTTAGGGGCTGGGGATGTACACACTGTATTCTTACAGCTATTTGGGGCATTTCCCTTCCATGCTGTGTTTCCCTTGCCCAGTCTCTTAAATCCATTCAGCTCCTAACTTGTTTCCTGCCTCAAAGAAGCAGAATCAGTATTTCTACTTGGTGCCCACTTGATTTTAAGGGTCTGAGTTTGCCTCCTGGTGACCCACAGTTTGCTGGGCAGGGCTGTAGTTGGCAGTTTGGCACTTATTTGCTTTTCCCCCTTTTTTGGGAGGGGTCTCTCTTGTATTTTGTGGCATTTCAATCCCTTCAGAGATCTGTTGCACAAGTCAGAGCTGATGGGATTGAGGTGTTTGCCAGTGGCTGGGAGCAAAGTGCTGCAGCACACGGGGAGGGAAAGGAGGTGTGGGAGAAAATTGCTGTGTCTCCAGTTCTGTCACTCACCTGAGCTTCTTGAATGAATCTCTGCACCTCATCGGGTAATTCTGAATGTTACATGCTGGCCATGAGGTGCATCTCTCTCCATACTATGGCTTCCTTCAGGAACCCATCCAGGAAGGGAACGCCATGGAAAAGTGGTGTGAGTCCTTGGCCCAGTGCAGGTCTTCAAGTGTAGCAGGAAGGTCAGACTGCACGTGCACAGCTGGCAGTGTCTTCTCCATCCTCTGTGTGCCCAGCCCTTCAGCTCCCTGCCCAAGTGAATCTCTGTTTTAATCTATATTTTGTTAAGGGCACCAAGCACTTTCTCATTGGCTTGGTTTGATCATCTCTCAGCTTGGCACTAAGTGCAGAGGGGATGAAATTCGTTGCCATGTTTTGCCTACAGTATTGCAAGGCTTCCTCAGCCTTTGGAAAATGGAAGGTCACCAACCCTTGCCAGGCTCCTTAAACGACTTAAGCTCAATGCCACAGGTGTCCCAGAATGCCCAAACCATCCCATTCATTTGGCATCCAGTGGCTGCTGCATTATACATACCGACTGCCATTGGCACATGCCACATCCAATCCATTAGCTGTGCACAAATGCACTTAAGATTTTTATTGCTCTAAGTTTTGTGTCATCAGCAAAGAAAGGTAAAGTTGATCTTCATCTAAATCACTGACATGGATTATTGCAATTGATTACAACGAAGCAAGAGCTTTTCAAGTTTCAAAGTTATGTTGTCTTTTATTTCCCCAAGTAGTAATCTGTACTGTTTAAGTTATTGCACAAGAAGTGTCTCTGGAAGAGCTGTCCATATTACATTCCTCGTTGAGAACATTTGTGTTAGCAGGCTGTTGTGAGTCCCCCCAGCTCTGTGCAGCACACTGCTTTTCATTCTTCTGGTGGCAAAAAAATGCACTCAATGGGTTTTTTTTTTAATTCGAGGAAGAAAAGGAAGGAGTTGCATGCCTGCTGAAGCTGGCATCTACAGGTTTGGGAAGCTGTGCTTTAGTGTGAGAGTAAATTATCTATGATTGAAAAAATGTTTGATTTGTAATTTAATCTGATGTGTTTCTCAAGCTTATCTTTATCAGCCTAGTGTGTGTCAGGCATCCATGGATCCAGAGAGAGCAGCACACAAGGGAAGGATGTGGCCGTTTTTCTGCTAAATTATCAGTAATGTACAAGTGGGAAAAAAGAGGGAAACTGTCCTTCCAGATCCTCCTGCTTGCCCAGTGCCAGCCAGTGCTGGGTGTTCGGGTGGTGCTTTACAGGGAGTGATCCCAGCACCCCCACTGTGCAGTGCCCAGATACCTGCACCCAGGCTTCCCTGTGCACGGCTCAGCAGCCCCGGTAAAACCCAGGAGGCTTGTCATGGGGTTAAAATCAGCTCTGCTTGAGAGAGAAATGCCTCAGTTTGTACTCCAGGTGTGTAAGCCCCGAGTACTTTCTCGACGCAGTCGGTGCTCACACGTTAAAAGCCACGGAGATGTGATGTTAGAGACGTGGGTTTAGTGGTGGGTTTGGCAGCGCTGGGTTAACGGTTGGACTCGGTGACTTTAAAGGTCTTTTCTGACCTAAATGGTCTAATGATTCTCTGACTGTGTTTGTGAGCAGACCCCCTGTGTCTGCAGGGGCTGCCCCCCCGAGCAGCCTGGCAGCACCTCTGCTCTGCTTCGCTCTCATCACTTGTGTCTCTCCAGAGCTCCCCACCTGCCCCGAGGGCAGCACTTCTTAAAACATGACCGTGAAACTTCACTCGAAAAACTAATTGTTAGTTAATAAAGCTTGTGGTTTATGGACTGGAGTGATGGGGAAGCCCGGCTGGAGCAGGAGGCTGTTAAACACCGAGGCTGCCGGGCCAGCTCCTCCGTTGGTGTAAAGCAGCAGAGATCCATTAAGCTCAGTGGATCTCAGCTACTCCGTATCAGCTGAGGACATGACCCCGAGTACTTAATTGGTGGTATAATATAAAGACATTAGACTCCTCTCGCTCCCCCCCCATCCCCACCCGTCGTTCCCATTACTGGTAATGGGAGCAGCCGCGGGTGGGTAGGGCTGGTGCCGGTCCCGGCAGGGCTGCCGCCCCCCGGAGCTGCCCCTCCGGCTCCCC